CGAGATTTACTTCTTTTGCACTGGGTGTGGTACTTTGTAATCTTAGTTACCTTTTAATATGAGCAGTCGATCGTCGAATGTGAGACCGGAAGATGATTGAGGTTGCCCAATCGAGGCCTAACCACTCTAATCTCAGTAGCAGTCTTAGGCCGCCGATCGTACTTTTTGTCCATTAATTTGCACTCTATACTTAAATATATATACTTTATGTGTCCAATAGAGCAGGTATCCCGCCACCCATACCAAATAGCGAGGACGGGATGCCTGAACACATGTACCTCCAACTATAAAAAAAAATATCCTATCCCCAGGATATTAGATGATTAGGGATGGAGACCGTGATACGTCGTATCAGTATTTTTACTCCATTAATATATGTATTGCCATGTAATTTCTGCATAGAATGGCCCACCCTTTACTTTCCCGTGGGTGTCGTAAGCGGCAACTAAAGGAGTTTAGTGGTCGAATAGTTAAGATGTGGGCAGCAGCGTCCCTTTTAAAACGCTGCCAAAAGATAAATTGCGGTTGTCAAGCCGTCTGCCAAGCATGGTAACCACTAGCAACCCCAAACAGGGGGAGGCTTATACTCAGCAGTGGACAATTAACGGCTTACTTTGTGTTGTGTGTTATTTGGTAATATATGTAAGAAAACTATTTATTTATATTAACTTTTAAACTTTCAGGTTACATGATTTATGGTTTATAAGAGGCGTGGAATTGATACGATTATTTTGGTAAAATATAATTTTCAATAACGTTACATCAGCTGTGTTACGGTCGAAACGTCAAGATAAACCTAGGTCATATTTCACGTGAATGGTCTCGTTAATTCTCATTTCTTATAACAATTAGATTAGTCGTTAACGTGACTATTACTTGACGTGAATTTAGTTATCAGTATTATATTATACGTTAACATGATACATTTTAAGTATAATACAGTCAACAGTTTTATCTTATATAAGAACATCAAAAGTTTTATATTACCCAGACTTTATTCGATTTAGAACTTGTATATGTATCTTATCAATTTTGAAGCATTACCAAACTTTAGCATATGCATTACCTAAGTGGTAATCTGGCCGTATGCTTCTGGGATAGAATAGGCCACCGCTTTGTCCCATGGATGTTTGTAATGCCATCAAAAGAATTTAAAGGTCGAAACATGGGTAGTAGCATTCATCTTTAAAATCAACGAAGCATAACTGCGGTTGCAAACCCGCCTGCCAAGCGTGGCAACTACTGGCAGAACTCTCCAAAGGGGAGACCTAAATCCAGTAGTCGACAGTACGATTGATATAATCAAGTGATCCAATCAAGAATCAAACTCAGCACACAAAGCGACAATCTCACCGCTCTGTCACGAAAGTCGTAAAAATTTAAATTAAACTTAATCTGATTATCATGGTAGTAGGTTTGCGTGTTAAGTCTTAAGTGCGTTTCCTTCATCGGGTATTTTTTTTTTTCATTATTCGCTACGTTGTTTTAAACCTTGCTGGTTAAAGTTAATAATAATAAATTACATTTATTCTAAAAACCTCTTGTTGTTTTACAATGAGTATAAACTCGATATTTCACCAAGTCAACAATTAAACTTGGCTAAATAATTGTCAACACCATAATTAGGTACTATAAGCTATTTATATTTTTTAATTTAAATAGAAATAAAACAGACAAATAAATTTTAAGTACCTAGTTTTTAAATTCGATATTAAGCGAAATGGCTATATTTAAGGCGATCTTCTTAAACTGTTTAAATTTTTAAGCAATTCCAAATAGTGGAAATTATCAGTTACCAATTTTGATCCAAGTGAAGAGAATTATTGTCAATTAGCCTTCGTTTTTATGGCTATGTTATATAGTAACATTGCTAATTTGAATTTGCCTTTGATAATTTTTTTGTGTCGATAGGTTTTACTCCAATGTTAGCCTCATATATTTTGTAACAATCGAATCTGCAGGTGCTCTTTGCAAAGTAAGAATAACTATTCTCCTCTGGTCGTTAACTTTGATTTATATTACTCGTATAACGTATTGATTTTTAACTCTTAGCGAAAGACGAGGAATCTCAATTTACCTGTTATTTATTTATAGTTATATTACGTATAACGTTGCCAGTTCTGAACCGATTTTGATATTTTCTAAGTTGAATAAATATTAATTTTATAACCGTTCTGTTTTTAGTTAATTTTAAACTTTCGCATTGTTTACGAATATTTTAATATGAAATGTCGGTAATAAAGAATCAGGTATGTAGGTATTCTTTACCTGTAAAGCTTTTACATCCTGTTAAGTTCCGATAGTGTATTTAAAATACGTTCCGTTTTTATGAAGCATAAATAACTATTATTAACTAGCTGTTACTTTTGCTTAAGTTATAACGTGTTGATTTTCCAATCTCGTTAAACATGTACTTTAAATGCAACAAGTACATTTTCATGAACATCATCGATGCAGAAACTTTGTAAACTATAACAGTTTACTAAAATGAAGTCTGAGTAAGTCTTAAACAAGTAAGTATCTATCGATTTTCGATAAGTATATTCAATGAATTTCACGCACGGATTACGTTGTAATGCGATCACGAACCGTTATAATGTTTAACCGTTATTCGTGGAAACGCACCGGTTACAATAACTTTAAGCATTTTCTTTTGACAGTCTTTTATTGGTGTCCTTATTAATATTATGACTATGAATGCAAATGTTTGTTTATTTCTATATTTACTTGTTACTTTTCGTTGAATGAACGATTTACAATAATATGATGCGATTGGCGACATGTATTTTTAGCGAAGGAGAATTACATAGGCTACTTGTTCTTCTTGTTATATAAATAAAGTCACTGCTAAAAATTTATAGTAATATAAAGGAATACCATAGATATAAGTTGACAGTGTATTTGATCGAAAAAATTAACCCTTACCTATAGACATGAATAGTACTATAGACATCACAATATACTGTGATTCCTAAGATATCTCTCATTGTCTTGCCATCTTTAACGATTAAAATGTTTTGCCTCTGTAGCCCTATAATTTCAAAAACATCTATCCTCTTGACGACGAATATGAAGAAGACTGCTACCCTTCAAACCAAAACACAGCTATACACAGGTACATTGTGGCAAAAATATAAGAAGGACAGCAGATAACTTTTGATAATTAATGAATAAATTGAGGAATTTGTACAACTTCTCTGTGGTACGTGCAACAATTGCATTTACTGTAATTAACTCTTGAGTAAAAATAATATGTGTAATATACACATAGAATTAGAGCTCTTACTGGAAACTGCAAACTAAATAAATACATTGTCAAGCTAGGATAATGCCTAAAAAGTTTTACATATTTTGCATAATGAGGAAATAACACTGTAGCAGTAGTACAATTTGTGGTTGTAGCCCACACATATATAAACGATATATCTCCTTTTAAAAATATTCTTTATACCCTGAGGAGATAAAAAAACATCGTTGTGAAGAACATCATAAAATTGCTATCATTAGTAGGAAATAGCAGCTAAAAAAGGACGAGAACAAAGTCACATTGTTATAAGTTTTTTATGCTTGAAAAAGCTCGTCTCTCAATAATATAATAACTATTGCATTTTAAAAATCGATAAGGTGATCTCACTCATTCGAGTGATTTGCATATTACTATGAAAAGCTACCGGTAAACCAGCTATTTATTTTCGCTTCTTTTGCACAATCTGTCTCTGCTTGAATTATCATAGAAAATTGATATAAATTTTTTTTGATGACAACCCTTTTTTTTATATAATATATTACGTAACTTTTAAATAGAAAAATCTGATGTTATGATTATTTTTTAACGAAAATTATACGAAGTAGCTTTGACACTGTGTTTGTTCTACTATAAATTTGAAATAAAGTTATTTACATTTCCTCACTGTAATATTTAATTCCGTCACACACCATTTTCTCTGAGACAAAATATTACTCGTCGTGTACAATGTACTCGTATATTGTTCTTTGGGACTTATTACGGAAAATCTCTCGTAGACGGCTTGTGGCGTCTTGAAACTCGGGACTTCGTGGAGCGTACTTTGAGAATTGCTGCTGCGGTAGACTAATGTCACAGAATAAATATAATACCATCTTTATTTATTCTGTTCTGGTGTCATGTCATGTCATGAATTTAATTAATACTTTAATTTATTTATATGTGCAAATTAAAAATTAATCGTTCTCAACCGAAGGCACTTTGATATCCTTATTTTTTTCTTTCAATTCGTCAAAAAGTAATTACGTCTCCAATATTGAATAAATTTTGCAATTCTTTTTATAATTATTAGGGTTTACTTCTGCGTTCATCTTATATTAATTTATTGAAGATTAAAGTATCATATAAATTATATATTTATAAATATAGGAAAGTGTTTCACAAAAACAAAAAAAAAAAACTCCTAACTTTAATTGTAACAAAACCAGTGATTTTGATTTAAAAACTAAACTACTAAACTTGTTTTGATAAAATTTCTATAGAATCAATCTGTAAGTATATTCTATTTTTATACCACTGAGGTGGCAAACAAGTATACGACGGTAAACGGTTACCGTAGCCTCTGAACGCCTGGAATACCAAAGGCATTACGTGAGCGTTGCAGACCCTGAAGTAACCTTTTTTTTTTTTTTTTTGAAGAACCCCATGTTGTGGTCACTTTTTTCAAGAGCTCGACAATGAGCTTATTCTATAACCTGAGCGTTCGTGGAAAGTGTTTTTTTTTTTTCAGATAACAAAGAATTTTACATATCAATATCAATATGAGGTAACAAATAAAAAAAAAAAAAAATACAAAAGAATTGAGAATCTTTTTTTTGAAGCCTGTTAAAAATGTAGGGTATCTACGAAATATCACGTCACTTATTGCTTTATGTCATTAATCATTTATTTAAAAAAAAAGTGTTCACAAATCAAGTAGTTTTTTGCAGAGCAGAACGTACTCGTGTGTATAAACTAAATTTAACTTTCTTTTCAGTTGGCGATAGAGTTGAACGAGACGACGGTGGAATACGACGATGGTGAAGAGCCAGATGCGGTAACGTTACTCTCCATACTGCTTGTTGGTATGTATATATATATATTTTTTTATTTTTATTTCTATATATATATAAGAAAATTTTAACTATACGATATCTATACATAAGAGATATGAGGATCGTAAAGTCATTGCCCGGAAAGCCACGTGAGAGACCTCCGTATAAAACAGAGGTTGTTCTTAAAATTCTTGTACTTAGAGGGCGCCACCGTTACTAGAGTAGAATTAGTACCACATAAAGTTTAAACTACAGAATAAAATATTTAAATAACGTATCCTAGTTGCTAATGGAGTTCCTCTACTTTTGCCGACCATCAAGTATATACACGAAAGCATGCCTCTGCTTTTATGCAATAATGTATAATTAAAATTATGAATAATTATACCTATTTTATCTCGAGGTTAAACATCTTTTTAACATAAAACTTTTTAAATTTCTGCGATAATTTACACATAGTATGCATAAATCTGAAAACTACGCCATATATTTTTATCTAAAATACCTCCGAGTCTCAAGACGACGGTATTTTACATGATTGTCCGTATACAAAAGCTTCAAATTACTCAGCGAGCTATAGAGAGAGCTATGCTCGGAGTTTCTTTGCGTGATAGAATCCGAAACGAAGATATCCGCAAAAGAACCAACGTAACCGACATAGCCCGAAGAATAAGCAAGCTGAAGTGACAATAAGCTAGTCATATATCTCGAATAACCGATAACCGATGGGGAAGAAAGGTTCTTGAGTGGCGACCCCGTACAGGTAAATGCAGTGTAGGGCAACCCGACTAGATAGAGTGACGACCTGAAATGCATTGTAGGAAGTCAATGGATGCAGGTGGCTCAGGACCGTTCTTTATGGTAGTCTATGGGGAAGTTTATGTCCAGCAGTGGACGAATAATGGCTGAAATGATGATGATGCATAAATCGGGTTTTATAGTGATTATTTAGAGGAAGAGATTGTTAGTAATAGGGACTAATGATCCCCTTGCTAGTAATATAACCTGTTAGGTCACTAGGAGAATTACAGAGAAAAACAATGAAAGTTCTAAGATAAATAAAATAAAATATTTAAAAACAAATACGAATTTATTCTAGTTTAAACAGTTACTTAAAAATTAGAACAGTCTATTTACTTTTCTTTATTTAAAATTTTACTAACTTAAAATTATTTGAGCACTGTGTTTTAGCAAACAGTTCATTTTAATAGAGGTTGATGTATTAGAATAATTTGTCTTCTTAATTATGAAAACAATTATGCTAAATTGAAATTAAAAGGTAAATTTTTATTAATTTGAGTTTTTTAGGACGAGTAATAGAATTAAACATTTTTACTTCATATAAAATAATGTTTCTTAATATTAATTCTTTCTAATGTTTAAATGTAAAAGCGTGTTTGTTTGTTACCTCTTAGCATTTTAACAGCTTAACCGATCACTGTGAAATTTGGTATTTACTTCCTTCCTTTACTTCCTATTTCACTGTGTTAGGTTGACTGGAAGAGATCTTTGTAAGGAATAAGTTCAACTTTGCTTACGTTATTAATAATTGTTATTATTACTGTATGTTTTAATGCAAAATGTAAAAAGACGGACTTTTTATCCCGGTCTGTAATTATATCCCGATCACAAGGACAAAGTCGTCAATAAAAGCTAGTAATTAATAAAAATAAAGACAAAATATCTCTAATGAGAACATTTATTTCCTTACTCATTGAAAACGTTCTATAAACTTATATTAACTACTAGCTGTTGCCCGCGACTTCGTCCGCGTTTCCGTCATTTTTCGTAAAATAAGTAGCCTATGTCCTTCCTCACGGTTCAGTGGTTTTGATGTAACAGACACATTTCCCTTCACTGCTCTGCTTCTATTGATTGTAGCGTGGTAAAAAATATACTATAACCTGCCCAGAAATATAAAAAACTACTATGTTTCGTTAAAATCCGTCAAGTAGTTTTTGTTTTTATAACGAACATACAGACAGACAGGCAAAAATTTTACTGATTGCATTTTTAGCTTTGATAGTTATTTTGTAAATATATTTCATGTACAGAATTGACCTCTCTACAGATTTATTACAAGTATAGATTTATTATAAGTGTAGATTAGAGCGTTTTGTCACTGTCTGTCGAATTGAAAAAGTAGCGCAAACGAAAGGGACAAAATATAGAATGTTTATAAGACTTAAAATGTTTTTAAGAATATGGGATTTAGTTTTCGAATTCTAGCAAGTTCATTCGTTCAATGGTTAGTAAATAATAGTACTACGCTTTAATTAAATTTTAAACTACTAATTAATTTTTTTTTTTTACATAAAATTTACTATTTTCGCTCTTATGGGGGAGGACTATGTCCAGCAATTAGTTTTGCCCTTTAGTCGCCTCTTATGACACCCACGGAAAAGGAAATGGTAACCTATTCCATGCGGGGACCACACGGAAATGAAGGGTTATGAAACTTTAAATACATTTTCAAATATTATTATACAGAAATACAATTGTTGTTCATTTTATTAATGCACTACAGTATTCGAGTCCATTTTATGACAATATAAATACTGAGTTAATATTGAGTGAGTCGTTTCAACATTATCCTATTTAAAGAGGAAGTATCATACTTTCATGCTTTGCCCAGTGAAGTTGGTATTAGACAATTTTATTATTTAAGTGTAGCGTACTTGTCTCTCTGCAAAGTATTTACTGGAGAGTAGATCCTCACTTTAATATTAAATGCGGTCTAATGCAACTCGGAGAAGCAATGCTAACCAAGAATTGCATTTTGTTAAATTCTAAATTGCAGCAGACGGGCTCTCACATACCTATATTATGTTACCGAATTTAGTGTACCAGCACTACCTGTATATTGTATCTTGTTTATGCTAATACCTATATAGGAGGGAAAGGGATTGTTAGTAATGGAGACTGAGAATCCCATTGCTAGCAATATACCAAACCAGGTCGACTTCCTCGCGGTTCTCCCTGGAAACTATCATGGTTAATTCCTGATGAATTCATCGTGATGGGCTAACTGGCCTGTTTTCATTCTCATCTATCACCCTTCAATGGTGCTCCGCCAGCGTATCCAGTTAGCGCAGGCGGGGTTACCATACCATTTTCACCCATAAAAAAATACCTATATAAAAAGTAGATATATAAAAGTAATATTAAGTATTTAACGTAATTCAGAGAATGGAAAAATCAAACTGTTTTTTGCAAAACACGATTCCGTATTCCAAATTGAAATATTTTCAATGTGTATCTAATATATTTATATCTTCATCGTTCGTATGTGTTTGGTTGTGATTAAAGGTTAGTTATGATTATATTATGGCAGATCATGAATGGGACTGACTTTTTTTTGATATATTTGAAATATATTATATATATATATATATATATATATATATATATATATATATATATATATATATATATATATATATATATATATATATATATATATATATATATATAGATTATTAATAATATGTTAGAATTTAGTATTTTAATTAGAATTGTATGTTACTATAAATTAAAAGTATTAATTTAGTATTTTAATTTGGACTTGTCTAAGATATAATTTATTGACACGAGTATTTAAAAATTAATTTAAAGCAGTTTAATATTAGATTACGGAATAAGTGTACCTATTTTAATTCGGTACAGTTTTATGAGTAAATTTTGTAACATTTTCGATTTTTTTTCTGTTAAACTAGCTGACCCCGTTAACACTATTTTGCACTTTGCTGAGTTCTTATAATGATCATGATAAAACCTATGTTATTTATCAAAGTGTAACGTCATGAACAACTTTAAAAAATTTCCGTACAATCGATTGAACGGTTTCAAAGATGGTATGTTGACACTAATACATGCCTAGACAATGGCGGACCGGCATAAACGTAGCAGGTAGGCCGTGCATATTAATACAGCGCAACGCAATAAATCACCATACTACCCTGCATTTTTTTATATTCATCGTGCGGTTGAGACGCCCTCTGTGTGACACTATACTACTACAAGACTGTCTTATTGCTCTGTAAATTTTATTATAATGTAACTATTTAAGAAAAACTAAAACCGATAAATATATTAAGTACTATAACTGCACCAACCAGAGTATTTATTAATGTTTTATCAAACATATATTACGTATGAATGGGGATGATTACAAATGTAGAGGATGACCCAGAAAGAAATAGACATACTGTGTAATAGATGGCATGAAATGGAAGTAAATAATCAAATAACTGCAAATATAGTTGAAACAAAGAAAACATATCACACTGACCCTTAACAGTTACAGGAAAAGGGTAAAAAGAAGAAGATAATAGAGTTTAATTTTTTTTCTTACAGGTATATTTCTCTCGTTGCTTATCTTCCTGAGTGTCGCTGGCAACATTTTGGTGTGCATCGCCATATACACAGATCGAGGGTTGCGGCGTATTGGCAACTTGTTCCTGGCATCGCTTGCTATTGCTGATATGTTAGTGGCCGCTGCAGTCATGACTTTCGCTGGAGTCAATGATCTACTAGGGTTAGTTTATATTTTATTTATTTTAAACAAGTATCATACAATATTGCCAATTGCCTAGTGCTTAATATAGGATACTCTGTGTTATGAGAAACTAGGACCTCTGTGGCGACAGCCAAGAACACCCACGTCCAAGCCAATAAAAAAAAATTGTTTTCAAATTTAAAATGCTTACCGCAGCGCAACCGAGCTCATCAAACTAAATGCATAATTTATAAAAGTTCCTCTGACACACGAATCGCTTGCCAACACTCTCAACAACATTGAAGCCTAATATTTTTTTTATACAACTTAGAATGTCAAACAAACTAACGGCCCACCTGATAGAAAGTGGTAACCGTCGCTTATAGACATGAGCAGTACCATGGACATAACAGAGTATACTGTTTCGCCCATGATACCCCCCATGCGTTGCCATTCTTAAGGACTCAGATGTTATTCCTCTGTACCCTGTAAATTCACACCATAACCCACCCTTCAAATAGAAACACAGCCATGTAAACACAACTGCTTCACGGTAGAAATACGAATGGGACAGAGGTACCCAAGCAATCGACTTTTGTACAAAGTCTCCATCTGGTAATAGGTCTAATGGTGATTAAATTATTGTTATCTACTTTTAAATAAACTTACCTACGAAGAGACTAAGACTCCACGACACAGGGAATCCTAGTATGCTTAAATGGAATTTCCTTTGTCAAAATGTATTTAAGTAAAGTAAAAAATAAAGATAAATCTTTATTTTTTGCAATATTATCTTCTGATAAATAAAATTTATAATTAATAAGTTTTTTTTATACCGCTTAGGTTGCAAACAAGCATACTGCCCACCTGATGGTAAGCGGTTACCATAGCCTATGAACGTCTGCAATACTAGGATTATTAGGCGTGAATTACCGACTCTGAAGAAACCTCTTTACCCCCCTTTTGAAGAACCGCATGCTTTAGTCTTTTGGAAAAACCTCGACAGGGAGCTCATTCCATAACTTAAGCATTCGTGGAAGAAAACATCTCTGAAACCGCGTTGTACGCGACCATAATAATAATTAATAAGTACATAAATGTCATAAGAATGTTTATTTATTTTATTTATTATTCAGGTATTGGGTGTTCGGAGAGCAGTTTTGTGACACGTGGGTGGCCTGTGACGTCATGTGTTCCACCGCTTCAATACTCAACCTTTGCGCCATATCACTCGACAGATACATACATATCAAAGATCCATTGAGGTAATATTTTAATAATAAATAATACTTTATTATAATTAGAAACACTAGTTTTTTTAAATGGGTGAAAATTGAATGGTAACCCCGCCCGCGCTATTGGTATACACCGACGAAGCACCAGTGAAAGATGATAGGTGAGAATGAATGCAGGTCAGTTGGCCCACCATGATTATTTCGACAAGAATTAAACATGATGGTTTCCAGGGGGATCCGCGAGGAGGTCGACCTGGTTGGGTATATTGTTAGCAATGGGATTCTTAGTCTCCATTACTAACAATCCCTTTTCCCCCCTCCCCCCCCGGATAGTATTGAAACGGTAACCCCATTTGTGCTGACGGAGTATCAGAGAGAAAAATAGGTGAGAATGGAAAGTCAGATTAGTTAGTCTATTGTGATGAATACATCTGGAATTCAGCACGATGGTTTCCAAGGGGATTACGGGAGATCGATCTAACTGGATATATTGCTAGCAATGGATCCATATTACTAACCATCCCTTCTTCCCTTTAAAAACTAGTGTATATTAATAATTTTCCGCAGATTTATTGTAAATTAACATTATATAAGAAGACCTTTGACGTAGCTTGCCTGACAACGGTTTTACATATTTTCCCAAGAATGAATAAAACAACAACATGAAATTTATAAACATTTATTATCATTTATATATTAACATTGAATTTATGAATTCAGATGTTTAGACTGGGATTCAATCTTAGGTTTACCGTACCGCAAAATCAAACGCTCTCCAAGCTAGCTGCGACCGCTCCATTTTCATATTTATAATATCATCGACTAGTTTCTATAATACTATATGTATACCGCGTGTTCTACCGTGATTGTATCGTAATAACTTATCTCTAGAAATTAACTATCAAATGCAAAAAAGTAAATTTTTCAAATTAGTGACAGTTTCAGTCATTTAGTTAAGTTTGAGAGCGGGTTCAAATATGTCTTTTAATCTTTTAGTAAATACATAATAATAAATAAATAAATAAGCTAATTATTTTATATATATTTAAAATTTAGACATTTTATGCTATTAAGGTAAAGTTGTCTTGAAAAGTTTGTTTTCAGCAAAAAGACCACCTTACTCTACTTATGTAATTGTATCGTTACGTTTATTGTCTTGCTTATTTCCTATAATGTATTATGCAAGTAAAGTAATAAAAATAAAATAATAATCGGTCTTTAATTAAGCATTTTATAATGTAACCATATTATCATGTATTTTAAATTAATATAAACGTATGCTTTGTTGGTTATCCTTAAATAAATATACTTATTAATTCATTTATATTCTCAAAACTATTATTATATGCTTTTTTTTTGTTTATTTTCTTTGTGCCTATAAATTAAATTCAAGAAAATAAACTCTTTCGTCTAATTATATTGTTATAAATATGACAAGTTGTTTTAATAAACATAAAGTTTATATTATTTTAATACGACTCGTATGGTAAACAAGCTGTCAGAATTTATTTCTAAAATTAGAATTAAAAAGTACCTTTCCCGGTAAAACTAAAATGTTTTTATTTTCTTCTTCATAAAAACATTATAAATCCTTTAACCGGAATTATCCAAAACATGTTTTTCTTTATAAAATAATATCCGATTACTTACATATTTTTACGTAGAATTTCAAAGAATTTATGTATAACAATAAATTAAAATTATAAAATCTTTTTAAACAAAAATCTACTCAGTTTACCACGGAAAAAATATATTTTCATTTCATTATGATTTTATAGTGAACTAGCTATATCCCGTGGCTTCGCCTGTGGTCTTATCCTTATGTTGAATAGTTTATAACTTTCCAAACAAACCTTGCTTCAAAGATTTAGAGCGATTGTATGTATAAGAGTCGTCTGAGGGTATCTCTGTCTCACTAGTGTTTCCGTCGCCAAGTAGCTGTTGTAACAGACAAAGCTCAGGCAGCCATGAAAGTTCTAATATGATTGTATTCGGTATTAATATTAGTACATGCCAGTAAAATTACATGGTACGGAGGCGTAACATCTTAGTCCATAGTCTCTGCTCAATTCTCTGATTGCTCAGCAGCCAGATATTTAATGACATTATAAATTAGATATATTTTTTAAATGTTGTTTAAAATTTTTAAGTTTGTTAAATAAACCAGATGGCTCCCTATACGTACTGATACTGTAAGTGTGGTGAGTAAATTATAAATAAATAAATAGGAATGACAATGCTTCATGCATTGTGATCATAGACTGTTTTTGTAATTAAAACGTAATTGGTAACTGTTAGATACCATATTCCCTAAGATAAAATGTCAGCCTATATGATATTCTAAGTAGTATAAAAGTATAATTAATGTATCAACTCTTAAGTGTCCACTGCTAAATGTAGCCTTCACCATATTTTGTCAGTAGTTGCCGTTCGTTTGTTTTTAGCGATGTTTTAAGAGGGACGCTGCTGCCCATCCTTCCTATAAAAGTGTAAAAATATAAAATAAATAAATAGTTAATCTCTTTAATATGAAGTAAATAAGCATAAATTCAAATATACATATATATTTATGCACGTCATCTTTTTATGTTACGAGTATTTTGGCTAGAATATTTTTTTCCTTTTTTTTTCTGAAAAAATAATGCATACCATGGTAACCAACCTTAAGCCAACATTGTATACCTGAACTTTTTGCATGAGATAAAAACTGTAATCATAGTGGATGCCTTGTTATTGGCTCTAATAAATAAATAATTAAAAATGAGAAATATGTGATATATTAAATAACATTACAAATTTTTACTAATATTATAAATGTGAGAGAGTTTGTTTGTTGTATATTATTAATGGAGGAGGACGTACGCTACTTTTTGTTACTTGTCAGTGAACACATGCCAGTCACGCGGATAATGTCGCGGGAAAATGCTAGTATTAATACAGATTATTACGACAACATAACCTTCAAGAAAAGAGCATGTTCCTTTTTAAAAGGCCGGCAGCACACCTACAATGCCGTTGGTGTTGTGGGTGATCATGGGCGGCGGTAGTCACTTACCATCAGGTGAGCCGCATGCTCGTTTGCTTCCTATGTTGTAAAAAAAAAGATTACTCGTACTTACATAAATTTATGTGACTACGGCGATTACAGACTTCGAGAATTGATAAAATTTGTTGTAATCTACACTTACATAAGTATATGGACAGTTCATACCTTGACACTGATTTTTCTGTATATTATAAAAAAAAAACTAGCTTAATGAAATACATATATTTGCAGAGTCATCTCCAATTTTGTCAGTTGAATGAAGCTATCCTTAGAAACGCAACGGAGCTAACTAAAATTCGATAGAGTGTAACTTTATTGCTTTCCCGGAAAGGCCTACCGGATTGAATGACGAAAATTTAATATCGAAAAGGATATATTGTCAGATAACAAACTTTTACTGGTCAGACGGATTATATTGTGGAAATAAAATTGGTATATTGAAGATTAGATTTGATGAATTTTATTACGAATATATTTTGGTTGTTTTCTTGTACATTAAGAGTATTCTTTGGTAATGTGATATACTTTGTGCTGTATGCGTCTATAGGTTAAGGTCATTGCTTTATTGTAATCACTGAGTATGCCGATTTACTACTTTTGCAGTATAAAAGTTATAATTTTCTCAAAATATTTTACTGAACTAGATATTATTTTGCGAAAGTCTATATCACTGACAAAATAATTAGAATTGTTTTGTTTAATTCCGTTACCATTAATATGTATGTGGCTGCCAGCACTCGACGGTTGACCACCACTGTTACTGCCAGAAATTCCATAACTTCCAGGTACAAAGAATAACACCTGAATCCTCAGGTATGGCAACGCATGGGAGATATCATGGGTAAAATAGTATACTCTGTTATATCCATGGTTATGTCTATAGGCGACGGTTATCGCTTTCCATCAGGTAGGCCGTCAGCTTGTTTGTCATTCTAAGTTTAATAAAAAAAAGCTTTTTACATTAGCCATCAATCACCGGCTGCCATTTGATTCACGGACGTTTTGCGACACGTGTTCGAGTGTTAGCAGTTACACACACACAGTAATGATAGCGGAATTAAACAAAATAACTCTAATCAAATAATAAGTAAAATTTTCTTCCCTACAAATTCCAGTAACTTAATGGTATAAACTACGTATACTGCGAAGTTTTCTTTTATTTTTTTTCAAAGCTAAAGTTTAGCACTCGGGTAGGTGCAGTTTCCTTATGAGAAACCTTGCCATTTCTCGATCAGAATGTAATAGATTAATTAAAATATCGTGCCTTTAAACAATTTATCAATCGGCTCCATGAAACATTAGAATTTCCTGGCTTAAAAATTCTGTAGACTGATTCATGGTAAAAACCAGATTCCTTTTGTGGATGGTAGTCTTTAAAGTTAGGTTAAGTTAGTTTATATGATCGCCGATTTTCAACAGAAGATCGCATGAAATGAAAAAGGATGTTGAAAGATCTATATGATATATGTCTTATATTTTTTTCTGCTAAGTTTTCCACATGGAATAATAAAGAGTATCTATCTTCACATGAGCTTCTTTGTGGAAGAGGCAGAGGACCAAGTGCCAATGATACTTTAATAATCATTTTTGTATGTACACGTCAATCCTGGGAACCCATAAAATCTTTTGATTCCCCTCTGTCTGATCGTGAAGTTATACTTCTTAGCTATTAATGATCTTTTTGTTTCAGATACGGTCGTTGGGTAACTCGAAGAGTGGCTATAATCACAATTGCTATGATTTGGCTCCTCGCTGCGTTAGTCAGTTTCCTTCCCATCTCACTTGGGCTCCATCGGCCTGATGAAGAGGCGTTAGCCACACAAAGACCACCGAGGTATCCAACCTGCGCGCTGGTACTGACTCCAACCTATGCGGTCGTCTCCAGCTGCATATCTTTTATACTCCCATGTATTGTGATGATAAGTATATATTGCAGGTCAGTAGTTTCTTTATAAACTATTTTAAGTTTATTTTAAGGTTCTTGAGTGGCAACCTTCTACAGGTACAGGTAGGTTTGTACCTACAAACGTAATGTGGGACGATTCCCCTCTAGATGGAGTGACGACCTCAAATGTACTGCAGAGAGTCAGTAGGTGCAGGTGGCTCAGAACTGTTCCTTATATCTATCTATCTATCCAGGCTGATATGATGAAGAGTTCATCTCCACAAATAATAGTTAAAAAAAAATTTTATTAAAAAAATATCACCTATAGAAGATTACATTATTAGCGAGTAACATATATTTTATTAAAAAAAATTACAAAATTGGAGTGATTTGCTAGTATGGTATATAGTATAAGGATTGATATCTCGGAAGAGATCTAGACTATTTTATATTGAGCATATAGATCAGGTGCTATTTGTGGGAGAAGTTAAGAGTCAATGAAAGTGGAATGTATGTATGAGACGAGTAATAAAACTAGATGATAAATTAGATTCATTAAAAAGTACACTAGTGGAAAAAATTAAGAGATCAAAAAAGAAATCTAAATTTTCGACAATTTTTCAATTTATTTTTTATTTTTGATAAAATTGGTCATAAAAGGCAATTTGAAACTTGATGTTTCTAATTTTTGGATCTTGCAAAAAAATCCAAGTAACACGTATCGCACAATCTTAATGAATATAATAAAAACAAATTTTTTGAAATAATTTAAATTTTTTTTTTTGGTATACGGACTTAAAATTTAGATTTCTTTTTTATATTCCTTAATTTTTTCCTCCAGTATACATTAAGTACTAAATATATAAAGGTCGTCTGAGAGAGAATAGCTGTAATAATAAGCCTGTGTTTTGTACTATATGTCATTAGTCAATAAAGTTTAAATAAATGAATGTATCTCTCTCAACCTCATCCACAAGGGACACATTATATTACATTAATACATAGCATAGAATTTTTTACTTTAATTCAAACGGGTTCTATAAGGGTTTCACGTGCATATTAATGACCCTGAACATTGTTCTTCGAGAGGTCATATGGTAATTTTATTTAACGCCGGAACGAAAAGCTTCAAAAATAGGTCTTACGAAGTGTTTGTACAGATTACTAGCTTGCAGAAATTTGAAATTTTAATCTTTACAAATATTTATCATTTATCTTGTAAAATCATAAAAAAATTACCTTATAATGTAAACATAAAAGCCGTTTGGAATTTGACTTTATCCTAATTTAACGTACAGGATTCTTTTAGCTTGATGTAAATGGATCCAACTAAAGGATACAACTAGTATACAAAATAGTGACAGAATACTAAAAAATACTAATATGCATGCATAAATATAATTTATATAAGTTAATATACAGTTGATTAACGTAATTATTATTTATTCTATGCATTTGTTTGCATTTTTTTGGCATCTTAACTAATGTTTATATAACAATAATAAGAATTTTCATAATAAGTTTACATAATAGTTCGTTAGCTACATTAGCTTATATTATAGTTTACTTGAAGGGTAAGATAAATAATTTTCGACACAAAAGATAGTTCAGTTTCTAGAATAGTAGTAAGGACTAAGGTATTTCTAAAGCATAACTTTGTCTATTTCTTAGCATTATATAGTAGAAATTAGGGTACATTGTAGACAGTGGACTGTCTGTTTAAAGCATTCCCAGGGCTATAGAAATATGTTATCTATGCCATTTCAAGTCGGTTTAAATGTCCAACTCAAAGCGAGATTAATTCCATGGGCTATATTATTCAAACGAATCTTAAAATAAATTAAATAAATAATTTAATTAGAAATGAGGTAGTTCTTTCTTTCATTCTTTTCTTTAGGTAGTCAAAGGCATTTTTAATGAATAATAATGAAATGGCAGCCCTGCCTGTATTAACGATACACTAGCGGGAAAATACTGAGGTGAGAATGAAAATACAAATCAGTTTTTTTTTTTGATGGGTGAAAATGGTATGGTAGGGGTTACAGCGTAGGCGGGGTGCCTACGCTGACGGGATACGCTGGCGGAGTACCAGTGAAGGGTGATAGATGAGAATGAAAACAGGCCAGTTAGCCCATTATGATGAATTGATCAGGAATTAACCATGATAGCCTCCAGGGAGAACCGCAAGGAGGTCGACTTGGTTGAGTATATGCTAGCAATGGGATTCTCAGTCTCCATTACTAACAATCCCTTTCCCCCCAATACAAATCAGTTAGCCTATCGTGATGAATCTAATATAATGATTTTTATGGGAAACATGAAGATCGAGCTAATAGAGTATATTGTTATCGATGGATCCTTTAATCCCCGTTATTTACCACCACCACCGTTATGTACCAGAGAGAGACTTTGTACAAAAGTCGATTGCTTGGGTACCTCTGTCCCATTCGTGTTTCTACCGTGAAGCAGTTGTGTTTGCATGGCTGTGTTTCGGTTTGAAGGGTGGGATATAGCGTGAATTTACTGGGTACAGAGGAATAACACCTGAGTCCTCAGGAATGGCAACGCAGGGGGGGGTATCATGGGCGAAACAGTATATTCTGTTATGTCCATAGTACTGCTCATGTCTATAGGCGACGGTTACCACTTTCCATCAGGCGGGCCGTCAGCTTGTTTGCCATTCTAAGTTGTATAAAAAAAAATTACAAATCCTTCCTCCAGTCAAAGGCATTCTTAGACTGTCGCAGTGAATTTAATATTAAACATACATATTTGTAACTAACTTCACTTTTCAGTCATTTTTTGGTTTTATTGTTAAAAGTATCGTAAGCACACATTATATCTCAATGTAATAACTACTTATAATTTTTTGCTTTGCCAATAGTATTTTGCTTCTCTTTATCGAAAAATTATTACAATTCGAATCGACAGTTAAAGTTTTCCAGTCTTTATCGATGGTTATATTCAAAGTTCTGATCTTTGAAGTCTATATAAGTCGCAATAAGAATAACAATAACATTATTTCCTTAAACAAAATTAGCCTAATATACAATATAGCTATGTAAGCATAAGAGTGTATCAAATCAATCAAAATCGTGTGTTAAATGAAAATTGTAAACTTCCAGCTTAGTCCAATAAATTAAAATGTGTTTTTAAATTTTTTTCTGTAGCCCCTCACAAGACCAAACAGCTATCTTTTATATCAGTAAGTCTAGTGGTTTGATTAAAGATTCGTGTAAAGAAATATTTTAACACTATATATATAACAGTAGGTTTCAAACACATCAAAATTAAATGAGCCCATTCCTGAAAAGCGAATATGCATCGAACAAATTGCCTCTGAATAACGTCGTACGTGGAAACTTTGGTATTCGAACTTATTGTTAGCGAAATTGAGGGGAATCAAACTAATTGATCTTTTGTTACGCGCAATTTAATTCGGCCTTCGCGAATTACAGCATGATATCTCACGGTACATTTAACTACAGAATTATACAATGGAACGTACACGTATTTAAATTCGGCTTAAAAGTCACGTAGATAATGCGACATACGGGAATGTAACATAATTTTAGCCAAGTAATGTACTATATCTAAGGTTATATATATATTTTGTGGTTTAGTATAAAATATAAACAAAATAAATATGTATACTTGCTATAACCCTTAATGGGGTTGTCAGCACCATTTGTTGACTGGCACCGTTGTTGTGAACAGTTATACTCGATTATAATTTCAGATATGATTGTGCATGACACTTCAAAAATTTACTCGGTGAGTATACAAGCATAGAAATCGAAATCGTTAGCGGGAAGGTTGCATAATATACGAGGATTTTTATTATACCACCGAGGTGGCAAACAAGCACACGGCCCACCTATAACAATATACATATATATATTATATATGAATACTAGCTGACTCGACAAATGTTGTTTTGCCATATACATTATTTCGAGAACTATACATGAAAATGTATCGTACTACAATTATTATATTCAATTGCCATCTTGCAACTCTATTGCGGCATATAAAAATCGCGATTAAAAAACAGGAGTTGATGGTAAAAGCGTGAAAATTTGAATTTCTATGTATTTTTCAATGCTAAATCATAATAAAATAAATATAAAAAAAAAATTGACAAAAAAATTAAAAAAAAAATTTGAGGAAGCTCACCTTTATCATTGAGGGGTAAGAAAAATAGATATTGGCCGATTCTCAGATCTACCCGATATGCACACAAAATTTCATAAAAATCGGTAAAGCCGTTTCGGAGGAGTTTGATAACAAACACCGCGACACGAGAATTTTATATATTGGATGTATTATTATTTATTCTGCGTTTAAATTTATCTTTAACCCATTTTTCTTTCTTCTTTAGACCTATTATTTTTCTGTTATGCCTTAACCAAACACAATTTTAATTATTCCTCACCATCCTAAGATTGCCTGGAAAAGATAGCTATTTGCGATATAGCGATAAGGCCGCCCATTGTTGCCTCTTTATCTTGCTTTAATGTGATTAAGTTTATTTAGTTAATTATTCATTTTGTTTGTGTAAATATTGTTAATCTTTATAATCTGTATCAATTTTTTCATTTCAAGGGAGCAATAAATGGTTTTCATTCGTTTATTCATTTAGTATCTATGTAAGTAAATTAGTTTTAGAACGAATTATTGATTGTCAGTTATCCAATATATAAAAACAAAATAAAGCACTAAATCGAAATTAATAGAGATATTAAATTATTATAGGCGATATCGAAATGGGAGATGATGTTTTTCTTAACTTCAAAACTTAGAATATAGATATTGGAGCGGGACTTATGTATTTTACGCATGCCTAGTTAGTAGTACGTACAATTAAAATCCCTGTACTGTCGCATTATTTTTGTCCCTTTTTAACCCGTATTCTTTAGTGCAAATGTTAAATTTCATCAGTAAAATACTCATTTAAAGTGAATGCTATCGTTTTTAATTTCATTCTGTTTACTGCACCTACACATCTTAGATTAGGGGCATCTAGATATGTAGTGTCTACCCACAAATGCTTAGAAAACAGCCTAACATTTTCTTTAACGGTGTACTTTCAAAGTTGTATTAATCTTATAATTTATAACTTTTATTATTAAAAAATGACGTTTCTTTATTTATATCACTATCTTCATAACAGTTATGTACTTAGTATAAAAAACTATGCAGCATCCGAGTGTTATCGACTATTTTTGGGACCTTCTTGCATATTCCATATTTCATCAAAGAGTATATATGATTTACGAATATATTAAATTTTAAGGTATACATAAAATTAATATACGTAATATTAAATAGAAATAATTTGAATTCGTAACATTCGAAAGTTTCGAATATTTCATGATAACATTCCTCTAAGGATTAGATTAGTTCATGTGCTAAATAATTTCCAAAGACCGTTAATTATTTCGTAAATTTCAAAGTCGCTCGCGCGATTTCTGCGTGTTTCGAATTGATAAGTTGCCATTACAACTGAGTTTTGTCATTCTTTAAATATATATTTTAACGATTTATTAAATAATACTCCAAATGTTTACAACATTTTATAACTATAAAAAGGAGAGAGCAGATTCCCAATTCATTTTTGCATGTAGATACGTCTTATCTTCATTATTTGCAAAGGTTTTGATATTACTTCCGTGATTTTGTAACCATTAAAGTTCTTTTTTGCGGAGTAAAAACTAGTTTGTTTTATTAAACAATCACTTTCATAAAACAATTAATCAATTTCACGAACACGAAAGTTGATTTCGTCCATTTTGTCTTGTGTGTGTCCAAGGTGAGTTTGATTATTGTAATCTCTTGGATCCTCAACTTCTTAACTAATCACTATAAAATTTAGAAACAAAACATAGATTACTCTTTATTCTGCTCAATGAACATATTCCAATCACAAGGGTATAGTCCGAGCTTTTATTCATGAGCGTAGTTCAATGCTGTGTCATGAGAAGCCCCGCACGTCAAACAGCTCACTAGTTGCGTAAAACTGCACGCAACTTAGCTGTGAACATAAATAATTACGAGATGGAAATCAATGAAACAATAAAAAAAAGGGTGATATGTACGTGAGATCCCTAGTTCCACTATAAATAGGTCACACTAGTTATCTAACATTAGTTAGTATACCATTGGTCCTGATCATTGCTCTGAATTTATAAAACAAAGAATTTATTTCAACAGGCTTTATTGCTACGCTCAAAAACACGTGAAGTCTATCCGTGCTGTTACCCGGACGGTGCAAATGCCGGATAATCGGACGAAATCAGTTCGTACCAGAGTACACACGCACGTCCACTCGTCTCCGTATCACGTGTCCGATCACAAAGCTGCCATCACAGTCGGAATTATAATGGGCGTATTTCTGCTATGTTGGGTGCCATTCTTCTGTGTGAACATCGTAGCTGCATTCTGCAAGACTTGTATACCAGGTAAGTTATGAGTAGGAACCACCCTAGATGTATGTCCACCAAGTAGATAACATGGCGAAAAAGGACCAATTTAAAAGTACCTATTATATGTCATTCATTTTGACCCCTGTAACATAGCATGTGCCATTAAAAAACTAAATGAAAATTTGGATCGTATCTCCAGTTGGTCCGATAAAAATTGTTTGATGCTTAATCCTAATAAATGTAAGTTTGTGGTTGTTGGGACAAAAAAGTTGATAGCTGATATAGAAAGACATAAACCATGTATTAAAATCAATAATAAACCTATTGATCAATTAAAAGAAGCACGTAATTTAGGATTAGTCATTGATCCTCATCTTCGTTTTGAAACATATATTATGCAAACGGTGAAAGTATGTTTCTATCGTCTTAAGTTGCTATATCGATTTCGGAAATATCTAACTGTGTCTACTAGGGAAAAGTTGTGTGAGGCTCTTGTCTTATCCAAATTAAACTATGGTGATGTAGTGTATGGCCCCTGCTTGTTGTCTAGAACTGAACGACTGATCCAGAGAGTGCAAAATGCATGTGCCCGGTTTTGCTATCACATTCCTCCGCGCCATCACGTTACTCCTTTCTTAAACAATGCCGGTATCATGAAAATGTTTTCACGTAGGAAGTTGCATCTTGCATGTTTAGTGTTTAATATAATAAATACAGGTAAACCTCAATACCTTTACGAAAATTATCGTGGGCGCAAGAGCATAGTATATATAATTTAAGAGTAGCTTCTATACGTTTAAAGGTACCACGACATAGAACTGCAAGTTTTCAGAGAGGGTTCAAATATGCAGCTTCCAAGATCTGGAATGACCTCCCGCCTCCCATACGAAATTTAAAAACAACTTATACTTTTAAAAATTATGCTAAAAACTATTATTTAAATCTACAAAAAGCATGTAGCTCCTTGTGATTGCATAACATTGCTGCTTCGTTGTATAATGTAGTGTTGTTGTATTGTTATTGTATTATTGTTGTACATATCTATATGGGTATATCTTGTCAGTTAAGTGTATGTATGTATGTATATGTAGGTATGTATATGTGTATATGTGGATGTATATATATATATATATATATATATATATATATATATATATATATATATATATATATATATATATATATATATATATATATATATATATATATATATATATAATATATATACATGCGTATGTTTGCTGTCGTCGTTCGTAATGTCACGTTGGGCACCACAGAATAAGCGCTGTAGTTAAATTGCTGCAGCACATGCTGAGTGGTGACCATGTTGGCAATAATAAATGTAAAGTTTTTTTTTTTTTTTTTTTAATTCATAATGTATGTAACTTTTTGTTGTTGTCAATAAATGTTTTCTTTCTTTCTTTCTTTCTATTACTAGCGAGCGTGTTAAATGTGAATATAGAGGAAGCAAAAGAGATCTGTTTGAATTGGATTCACTATGAAAACAGTACTAAAAAAGTATTTCGTTCAGACTTATATAGCTGAACATAGATTAAGTACCTTAGGTCACATTTATAATTATTTTCTTTTCCAAAGACTACTATTGATCATATTTAAAGTCACTGCTTCATCTAATGGAGAACTATACGCCACAGTATCCCCACTTTCTTCCCCATAGTTTAACGGTTCGTTGAAGCTACTTATTAATGGCCCATTACTAATCAAACACATTTGTTACAGATCTTGCCTTTAAAATTCTCACATGGCTCGGGTATTCAAATTCCGCATTCAACCCAATTATATACTCGATATTCAACACGGAATTTCGAGAAGCCTTCAAGAAGATATTAACTTCCAAGTACCCTCCATGCTGCGGCTATCAAACAGTAAGAGCGAACACTCCAACGAGAAACGAGAACTTTGTCACTGATTATGGCACGAAGACTTTAGTGGTCCGACGCAGCGGTTCCTTAGGATTGTCCGGCATCGATCCTACTCCAAGGTCTTCAGCAGAATCAGTGCGTCCACTCAGGGATTACCACATCTGACAAGAAGACGGGAGTAGCAACAACGGGCTACTCGATAAAAGCGATGTTGTTTGAAATAGGTATTAAGATTGCGAAGAGCAATATTTGCATCAATTATGATGTAAAATTTTATGGAACTTGAATAATTGCTTGCTATCTTTAAATATTTAATGTATTAAGAAAAATTGTGTAGTTTGCAGTAAATATCATACTTGAAGGAAACTATAAGAATAAATAGACTGGTTGAGCTAACACTCATAGTGCATGCACGTGTGAATGCAATATTACCGCCAAGGTGTACACTTACTTCTTCTCGCGTAGGATGGAAGAGCTGTCATAAATTTATTTGAGTTTGACCAGTAATTTTATGTCGCATTATATACGTAACTCACACTATCTACGTTTGAGTGAGCGATAGACATGCCCTTACTTTGGTATCTATTGCCTACTGTCTCATTTAGCTTTTAAGAGCGTTCATAACTTTGGCTTATCGAAGGGTGACAACGTAACAATTTTCTATCAATGTTATAGATATTACCATGAGTGACAGTTACCACTTTTTATTACCTTGTTTTCCATTTTAAGTTGCACAAATGAATTTAAAAAAACTTATTGGCTAAAAAGTACTCTGCTAGCGCATTAAAACAGTAATCATAGATAACATTGCATTTAGATCTATTATTAAAACTTTGCATCTACTTCATATTTTGCTTTGGAATTTTGCAAATACATTTTTGATAAAAAATATTATTGTATTATTAACCTTTTAAGTTATCAGCAGAGCACTTTTTAAACAATCAATCAAAAATATTGAAAAATGTTTAATTGTCTTTGAAATTTGACAGATGATTGCAACGTTGCCATATTTGGTTATGAAGGCTCCTAATAGGACGCGGGCCGTCAGCGTGCCAACGCAGGTATTACTCGTATTATTGAATTTATGAGAGTGTCAGTTCTACCTGTATATTTATTCCTATGACAAAACCATGGACAATTAAGCTTGCGCAGTAAACGATTTTGTATGTGAAAATATTACTGCGCAGGTCACGTGGTACTAAAATTTATGTTCAAGTTATTTTCGGTCAACAAATCCAGTCCTTGTAATTCTATTTAGTTCTATTAAACTTCGTTCTCTGTTATTAGTTAAATTGTACCACAAAATTAATGATAAGTATGATTAAATAATTAATTTAATCCTATCTGATATTCCTTAATATATTTCTATGCGAGCTTACTAATTTTAGATTATAACTAATTTAATTTAACAAAATGGAAAAGACAAAGCAGTCATTTATTTTTATATTTTGCAGTGGAACAATACCAAGTGTGTAAGTCAATGCCGGATGATTTTATTATCCAGATTTATTTATGGGTACAACTTTCTGACTCACAGATATAGTTTTAAAATAGATGTCGCAAGTACTCGTGCTTTATGTGTAAATTTTGCTTTCACAGACATTCAAAATATACCCCCTTTTTTGACTGAATAGTTGAGAAATTTCTACATGAAATTTATGCCGAATAAGTTTAGGTTTTTATACATCATCATATATGGCTTCATTATTTCTTATATAAATAGTCAAAGAGAAGTACTTTTTTCCAGCGAGCATTCAGATTAATTTAACAAGGATTTTCGAAAGCTACAGTGAATAGACATTATTTGAGTTTGCGTGTTACGCTTTAGACCTCAATGTCACTTAAGACCAGGTAAGATTGTAGTTAAATGCGTTCAAATTTAATAAAAAATATGTATAATTAAAATATGTATAATTATTATTAATAATGAAAAATATACTTTATTCATTTATTTTATCATTTGGGATCAATACATCAATAAGTTTTTGTTATTATCATTATCAAAAACTGTTTTAAAGATAATATTTTTCAAATAACTATTGTACAAGAGAGGGTTAAATAGTTTACCATATGTAACATCACAGCACGTCTTTTAGTTATAGCATGACATTTGGCTTAGGTTTTATATTATCGTGTTACTTACTTGTGTTATCTATCTTTTTCTATATCTGTGATTCCGCCTTTTTATACTGAAAACGTTATTTTATTAAATTTGAATTCAGAACATAACCAAATTAACTTTATTGTCCGGGGGCAATCGAACTTGACATCAGCAATTAATTGAATACAGAGACATAATCTTGTAACTGTTCATGTTGATTGCCTAATAAATAGGGATATAATAGGGATAAATAATAGAATAAATAAAGTAAATTATTCAATATATCTAAATTTATTAATTTTACTTTAATGTTTTTAGTTTATTTATCCATCATTCGTTGACTTAATAGTGACTTCAGTTACTTAAAAAGAGAATCAATTAAATAAATTATTTAGGTAAATTAATTTTTACTAATTTAATGTGACTATTACATAAAGTTAAACTACAAGAGCCAAATGGATTGAGCTATATATACGAAGTAAACAAATTTAATTGATTTGTTTAGGCACCATGACCTAAATAGTTTAGTCGTCAATATCAACAGCTAAACTTTTAGTACATAGTTACATAAATTTTAGTAAGTAATTATTACATTTTTATTCATTCTAGGAACTACCGAATGTATTATAATACTCGTAGGTGACTTGTGTACTTTTCCACAGGTTTTAATCAACAAGTATACATTTAAAATTTTATACAGAGCTTTCTAATATCGTGTAAGCATCGACTAAGTGCAGGTTTTCGAAATTCCCGCAGGAAACAAAGAAAATGGATTCCGCAAAGATAAAGGTGTGTTATTTCCATATTGAAAACTTTATTAACTCTAAACTAAACATATCAAATAAGATACATTACTTTTAATTAATTCTATACAAATTATACATAACTTTAACTAGTGTTTAATACATTTATTTATTTTATTAGTACAAATTATAATAGTACAGTTACGATTTCTATGGCATTTTATTGGGAGATTTAAATAAGTTTTTTTTTTATTGATGAATTAATTTTATTTCACATTCCAGTAATAACAATGTTGATTAGATATCGTTAATGTTATTTTATTTATTTAATTTACTTCTCTTTATACCAAAATATATACACATGATATTTTGGTTGTCATCGAGCCCACCGATTCCGAGACAGCAACATCAGCAATACATTTATTCAAATCTAATTTACATAGAATTATCCTTTATTATTCTTTCGCAATGGTTATTTAGAGAAAAGTAAGAAAAGACTTTACATATTGTTGCTGCCTACTTAACAATTATTAAGTTACAAAAATTATCAAACATTTGTATTCAAATATATCCACATATTTTTTTTATTTAATATTATAATTTAATGTAGCAAATATATGGAAAAAACAATTAATAGCAAATAATAATCCATTATTAGACACTGCTTGTCTCTTAAATCGGAATAAAGATAGAGCATTCTGTCTGAAAACTCGCATATTATTTATATTCCCTCCAAATTTAATCATATTTTGAGACTCCTGTGATACTTTTGTAAATAATTTTAGTCTTTGCGAATAATCTTGTAAATATAATAAATGAAGAATAAGATATAAATTAATTATATAAATTAAGCTACATTTATAATAATAAGCTCAACGCTGATTACCGTGCATTTTTTAAATAATAATTTATATATGTGTTCGTATGTGATCGTTGGTTTGTTATGTTACTCACACAAATTTAATTGACGATTAATTTTAAACTTTATTGTTTAATACCAAAAATAATGTTTTAAAAGCCATCAGGCGGTTATATTTTAGTAACTTTATATTTTAATAATATCTAGTATGAGCTCTCGCAGCGCTCAGATGTCTAATTTATTTTTTAATAAAATAAAATTTATTTTTAAATTTTCTAACGATCAATATCAATATCGAGATTATTATTTATTTTTAAATATTTAAGCTTGATATCTAGTGAAAAGATCTTCAAATATTCCTTTTACAGTGAATGAATATTGAATTTGATTAATAATAACAAAAAATATTTATTATTATGCCTTGGTCTAAATTGAGTGAATCTACTAAATTTTAAATGCAAATAGTCACTAAATACACTGAAATGAATAAATATTTTTGAGTTTCAGATGAGAACTTAATATCTTAAATAATTAAAAAAAAACATACAAAACAATTCTGACAGGTTAAAATATTGCTGCAAGTATTTTTAATTTAATATTATGCTTCATTCATAAGCCCCGCCAATTTGTCAATCGTATCTTGACAGTTAATTTATTTTAAGCTAATATTTGTAATAACGTTAACATAATTATTACATACTGTCAATTAATCACGTCGAGATTAATTAGTTAATTTAAAATGAATATTTTCATTATGAAGTAATTTAAGAGATAAACTAGCACGCTGTGACATCTTAGACTGGATGCCTTTTAAATAATTTTATTTCATAAATAGTATAACAATGATATAAACACTCTATTGTCTATAAAGGACAAGACAGAGCTGTTTTAAATTTATATATTTACGTATTATATTTTTACTTAAAATATTATTTAATTATTTTTAATATCTAATAATTAGACATAAAAAAATCTTATGACCTTAATGGGTGTTGCTTAAATAAGTATACTTAATTTTTTAATTTTTTTTTAATGGCTGTAATCCGCCTTTAATTGTAATGTTGAGTACTAATCCGATAATTGATCCTCGGCGCGTGATGCCTTTAAACAGAGGGCCGACCATGAAATGTGTTTTGAAATTTTGGGAAAATTACGAAGAAAATAAAAATTTAATGTTAAAATTACATAAAACATACCATTTAAAAATTATAAAAATATTTAATTATCATTCCGTTAAGAGGTTTACAGTAGGATTTATGAGGAACGAAATGTTAAGCTTCATTTACTAGGCCGATTTCAATATAAACGAAAATACGAAATTGAGTTCGAAATTTCGGAATTTCATTTCATGGTAGACCCCCTGGACGAGAGGATGAAATAAATTGAATCATAATTCGTGTAAAGCAGTCGTTTTTAACTTTTACACCAGATATAGGTAATCCGTTTCAATAGAACTTAATGAAATGTAAGCAAAGAAATATTAGATTCGAATATTAGACGATCTGCCGATGTCCTAAAGATTCCTTTGTCTATCTGCTCGTAACTGATAGCATTTTGCATGTTTTTAAAATAATTTCAATAAAACTTGATTATGAAATGAATGAATGACAATTTATTTCAATAACAACTAATATCAACTGTCACCGCTTTGTAAATAATACTTGGCAACTTTGCTATTTGTATAGAATCCAACATGCCCACCGCCCTCTCTTGGAGCAAACTTGTTAGCGGTGTTTATTATTATTGTGGA